GAATCAAGGATGGACTGTGTTGTTGAAGAACCACTTCCATCTTGCGATTTCCAGAATTTGTGGTAAGAAGTCTGAATAGTTTGTGTGCTTCCTTCTGATTGTCAATGATTACCTTCAAGTAGTCTTTGGTTACTACTTGATTTGCTGAAGACACTGCCAGAGCTGCTCTGATGTCCATTTGGAGAATGGACATTTGTTTTTGTAGACTGACTGTGACATTTTCTATTTGCTCTCTGATTTTGTTAACCTCCTTGAGTTGAAGATAACTGTCAGATGCATATGTCTCCATCGTGTTGCTCACAGTGTTACTCAATAGAGATAAGATCTCTAGAGTTTTATCCACTGATTTGCTTATCTCCTTGAGATTGGAGCATTGTGTCTCTTCGAATTTCTCAATCAGTTTGTTGTGCCTGGCTTCCATCTGCTCTATCTCTTGCCTCAAGGAGGCATGTTGAGATGCTAGGGCTGATTCAATCAGCCCTTGGACCTTCTTTGTCCAGATTTCCGGTACCTCATCCGGAAGAGTAGGAATGGAAGAGCTATGGAAATGGAAGTTGGTTACCTGATGAGTAGAGGGTGTTCTTTGGAAGAGTTGCATAGGAAGAGTTTCAACATCATCTTGTACATCTACTTCATCATTGATCTTCAGAGTCCTTTCAGATTCTTCTTCTGCTTCCCTAAGTGTAAAATTTGATATATCCCTAGAGAGGGAGTCTCTTTCTTCAGCTTCATTCTGTTCTTCAAAAATGGCTACTGGAGATTTGGAGGCCTCCAGTTCTGCCATTTGAGTTTCCTTCTTAGCTTCTGCAGAACTTCTCTGGTTGCTGGTTCCAACTCAGCAACTGTTTTGCTGAATTTCCAACTTTCCAAGCTCTCTAGTCATAGTAGAGCTGCCAGAATTGATTCTCAGCATCATCTACTTGAGGTTGTGAGGAAGTTGGAGAATTCTGAACTTGAGGAATTTCTTCTTCAAGTTGTTGAGGACTCCGGTTGTGGGCTGAGGTTTCCTCAGTTGTTTCCTTCTCCTTCAACTCATCCAGATCATATCCAGATGTTGAGGGAGAGGTGATTTTCCTCTTCTTTTTCCTTTGTAGCTCTTCTTGGTCAGAGAATTCTTCTTCTTCTTCAAAATTGCTTCCTCTTTACTGACATGCTCATCTCAAATTTTCCTTGCATGAGGGTTGAGAACTTGGTGCAGAGATCTTCCTTAGTTGAGCCAAATATGATGTCGTCCACATAGATTTGGACTAACACGAGATCTTCTCCGTCTTGTAGTTTGAACAATGTCTTGTCAATGATTCCTTTGATAAATCCATTGTTTATAAGAAATTGAGACAATGTATCATACCAAGCTCTAGGAGCTTGTTTGAGTCCATACAGCGCCTTTTTGAGTCTATACACTTGATCTCCCTTAGTGTGTAACTCAAATCCTGGAGGTTGTTCCACATAAACTTCTTCCTCGAGGTTTCCGTGGAGAAATGCACTTTTGACATCCATTTGATAGACTTTGAAATTCTTATGAGCAGCAAAGGCTAGAAACAGCCTTATAGCTTCAAGTCTAGCAACTGGAGCGAAGGTTTGATCAAAATCTATACCTTCTTCTTGACAATATCCTTTGGCAACCAACCGGGCTTTGTTTCTGATAACAATGCCGTTTTCATCCATCTTGTTCCGGAAGACCCACTTTGTTCCAATGACATGTTGATGAGTAGGTCTGGGAACAAGTTTCCAGACGTCATTTCTGGAAAATTGGTTGAGTTCTTCTTGCATTGCATTGATCCAATCATAATCAGCTAGAGCTTCTTCAATATTCTTTGGTTCCACTTGTGAGATCAAACAAGCAAGCAAAGCTTATAGATTCTTCTGAGCACTTCTTGTGCGAACGCCAGATTGAATATCTCCAATGACTTGTTGGGGAGGATGATCCCTTAACCAACGAAGATTGTGCTGATTAGGATTGACTGGTTGATCTAGTTCAGCTTCTGGTTGGAGAACAGAAGTTGTTGGTGTTTCCGGATGGATTGGCACTGGATCGCCATTTCCGGAATTGTCGCCGTTTGAGTGATCCGGAATATTGGAAGGCTGGCCAAGATTTCCGGTAGGCTCAGCACTATTTGAATTCGGATTTCTCTGTGAAGTCTTCAGTGGTAGACTTCTGAATGGAATGAACTCCGTAGGCTTCATTCTATCTCCTTCATTGACTTCTTCATCCTTGTCAGATAGATCCAGAACCTCATGATCATGCTTTGATGGCTTGTCAACCACATGTTTTTCATCAAAAGTAACATGTATTGACTCTTCAGTGATCATGGTTCTTTTGTTGAAAACTCTGAATGCCTTGCTCACCGTAGAGTATCCAAGGAAGATGGCCTCATCTGATTTCTCATCAAAAGTGTTCAAATGATTCTTCCCGTTGTTTAACACAAAGCACTTGCTCCCAAAAATATGGAAATATGATATATTAGGCTTTCTCCCGTTCCATAGTTCATAGGGAGTTTTGTTGTGCCTTTTATAAATCATACTCCTATTTTGAGTATAGCAAGCCGTGTTAACAGCTTCAGCCCAGAACCTCTTTGGTAAGGAAGCTTTTGCTAGCATTGTTCTCACTGCTTTCTTCAGGGTTCTGTTCCTTCTTTCCGCTACACCATTCTGTTGAGGCGTCCTTGCTGCGGATGTCTGATGAAGAATTCCGTTTTCTTCACAATAATGAATGATGATTTCATTCAGGAATTCTGTGCCTTTGTCTGATCTGATCTTCTGAATGGTCTGACTTGCTTGGTTTTGAATCAGCTTCATGCAGTTGGTGAGTTTCCCTTGAGTCTCCTTCTTGCTGTTGAGGAAGATTGTCCACGTGTATTTTGAGTAATCATCAACTACCACTAGGAAATATTTCTTTCCACTTAGACTTATTGGTGTAACAGGGCCAAATAAGTCCATGTGAATAACACTTAATATCCTTGTAGTTGAGGGTGCCGGTTTTGCCTTGAAAGTAGATTTGACTTGCTTTCCTTTCTGGCACGCATCACAAATGCTTTCCTTCCTGAATACAGCTTTGGGAAGGCCTTCTACTAACTCTTCTTTGGATAGCTTGTTGAGAGTTTTGAAGTTGAGATGACTCAACCTCTTATGCCAAAGCCATAGAAGGTTAGTGTCACCTTTGCTAATTAGACATGCTTCCTTGACATCATTCCATATCACTTCATAGATGTTTCTGATTCTCTTCCCAGTGAGAATGATTTCATTTGTGGAGATGTTCTTGAGAGATGCCATGTCCTTGCAGAATTCCAAGGAGTAACCGTTATCACAAAACTGACTTATGCTAAGAAGGTTGTAATTGAGTCCTTCAACATAAGATACAGCTTGGATGGTTAGTCCCTTGTACACAAGATTTCCTAGTCCTTTAGTAAGGCCAAAATCGTTGCTTCATCCAAAAGTAACTCTTGGACCACCATAGGGAATTAGATTGCTCAAAAGGCTCGCATCACCCGTCATGTGTCTTGAACAGCCACTGTCTAAGTACCAGACACCTTGGTACTAAGCGGCTTCCTGCATTAGGAGGAGGAAGATTTTGGTACCCATTTCAGTTTGGGTCCGGAATGGTTAATGGTGTGTGTCCCTACATCAAGTTTGAAGTTGCAGGGAATTTTCCTTGCAGCTCTAAACTTGTTGGGATTGTAATCATAGTTGTAGGCATAAAACTTCCTACGTGCAGGAGGTGCAATTTCCTGTTTCCTCCTAGCAAACCTAGGTTGATAAGACCTATAGTTTTGTCTAGGTTGTGCATAGTGTTACCTGTGTCGGTTATAAGCATACTTAGGTGGCATAAATAGTTTCTGAGGTGGAGGATGACTATATCTTGGCATAGTTCTCCACTCAGAACTTCTCGGAAAACTCCTATCTACCCCATAATGAGTATAGCCTCGTGTATATTGGGGGTTAGAAGGTTTTCTTCTTAAATTGTTTCCTTTTTGAGGTCTGTCCAGCTTCCTACAGTTCTTAGGAGGGACTACCTTTTAGGAAACTTCTGTTGGTTTCTCCTTTTCCTTCCCTTTCTGCTTATTTGGTTTGGCAGTAGGTTTAGGAGGGATGAAAGTTGTTTTCCCTTTCCTTTTGGAACTAGAGGGGTCAAACCCAAGTCCTTTGCGACCCTTGTGTTTGGTCGTTTCAAGAAGCTTGTTCACTGCTTCTTTAATTTGGACTTAAGTATCCCTAGCTCTTTGTCAAGGGATTTCACCTTTTCAGAGAGAGATTCATTTTCAGTCTTGAGTTGAGTGATCTCATTCAGTTGACTTTTCCGACTTTCAGTCAACTTGAGATTCTCTTCACTCAATAGTTTGTTCTCTTCTGTTAAGGATGAGTGTTTGAGATTTATTTCCTCAAAATCTTTCATCATCTTTTTGAACTGGTCAAAAAGATTTTTAGAAGTTGGTATGCTATAAGAAGATGAGCAGGAGGTTTGTGAGGTTACCTCTTGATCAGCATCATCTTTGGCCATTAGACAGAGAGTGTCATCTTCTGACATAGTCCACCTATCCTCATGGTTGGACTTCTCAACTCTGCGCTCCATGCAGACGAGGGCTTCTTCATCCGAGCTTGAGCTGGATGACTCGTCACTTTCAGCAGCAAACATTGCTTTCTTTTTCTTCTCGTTCCTTTCTCTTTCTCCGTACTTCTCCACCTTTGGGTACGGGCATGCCGACTTCCAGTGGCCAGGCTTCCTGCAGTTATAGCATTAATAAGATTCAGGAGGGGAGTCACTTACGTGTGGCTTCCCCTTGGATGGCCTTCTGACTGAATCAGCCTTCTTGAAGAACTTCTTGAACTTCCGGAATTGCTTGACCATCATGGCAAATTCCTCATCGAAGTTCTCCATTTTTGAGCTTGGCGGCTGGCTGGAGGAAGGTGTGTCACAGTTTCTTGTGCATGTCCCTTCACTTGATGGGATTCTTGGAGTTGTCATCAATGTCGTGGGGAAGGGAGTGACTTGTTCTTCCTTCTTCTTTTTCAGCTCGTGCTCATAGGCTCTGAGTTCATCAAGGAGACCTTGAACAGTGTAGTTCTCCAGGTTTCTTCCTTCTTCCATGGCTGTGGCTTTGGTGTACCACTCAGTTGGAAGTGATCTCAGCAACCTTACATTCTTTTCTTTGGGAGAAAGAATGTGGTTAAGTGAAGCAAGATCATTCAATATCTTGTGGAATCTTTCATCCAACATATCAAATGATTCTTCGGGAAGCATTTTGAAGCTTTTGAACTTCTCAAGCAGGACTTCTATCTTCTGCTTTCTCAGGTCCTCTGATCCCTCACATAGCTTCCCAAGACCTTGCCAAATCTCCATGGCAGTCTTGAGATGCTTAATCTTGGAGAAGGTGATGGGATCAAGTGTCTTGAAGATGGCTGCTTTGGCGACGTTGTCCAGATTGTGCATTTTGCAATCTCTATCATCCCATTTTTCCTTGGGCTTTGGAATGTATTGGACTACATCTAGAGCAGCTGGATTCCTCTCAGGGTTCTCCATTTGGATTTTCAAGGGTCCATCCTCAAGCACCATCCACATGCAATCATGTAGAGCGTAGAGATGTGCTTCTATCATGATCTTCGAATCATCATAACCTAGAAGAGAAAACTTGGGCAAACCGTGAGAAGTCTGCTCCGATACCAATTGGTGGTCCCTAAGTGGTGAGATACAAAGTCTAGAGGGGGGGGGTGAATAGACTTTGTTACATATTTAAAACTTTTTCATTTCTTTTGAAAACGTGAAAATGAGTGTTAATCTAGAGTTCTTGTGAACTTTAGATTGTGTGCGGAAGTTGGTGGGTAGAGTGAGCAGTAATCAATATGGATGGGTTAGTTTTCACAGTTAATATAATTGCAAGTAAGAATAAAGATAGAAGAGAGAGACACGCAAACTTTAACGAGGTTCGAAGGTGGGGTAATCATTCTACGTCCTCAAAATCCACTATGTAGTTGGTTGTTGAATAATGAACCAACAATTACACTTGTGTGAATTTCTGCACGGTATATCTTCGCAAGGCCAATGTTGCTACTGCACTCGTGTTGGCTTTGTTGTTCCTTCGAAGATCACGCTTCTTCAACAACTGCAAGGTCCGAACAATAGGACTTGCAAGACCAACTTGTAAGAAAGTTGACCTACCCCCTTTCAATCAATAAGTTTGATCAAAAGTTATATCCTTCAACGTGGTGTGGTACTCGAGGCAAGGAAACCTTCAAGTATTTACACTAAAGCTCTTTGGAAGGAGGAGAAGTTTGCTTCTGGATAAGGAGTTTAGAAAATTTTCTTTATCAAGATTTTTGGGCTAACTATGAATGAGGTAGCCTCTTTGTGGTTGTTCTTCTTATCGTTGATAAGTTGTTCTCTACTTCCCCAGTCTTCCAAGGATGCTATTTATAGCTGGATTGGATAATCTATCCGTTGAATCAAAATAGACTATCCGTTGCATTTGCTGGCTTCAATTTTGAATGAAGATTGTGATTTAAAGATTCCTCATTGGAATGGGTGTTTGGACATACCCAATTGTTTAAGGAGGGATTCCTTATTCCATAGAATCCGTCTTCTAGCTATTGTTCAAGAATTCTGGACTGTAGCACTTTACTCTGTTTGTCTTCTAGTGCTTGTTTAAGAATTCTGGTCAGGTTCTTTAATTTTTAGAGGTCCAGACTTTGTCTTCGAGTCATTTGTTCTTGAATCAGCATAATTATCTTCAATCTAGCCGTTGAAAATCAAGAGATTGATTTTTCCTTACCAACGGTAGAATTTCTTCATTCAAGACTTAGATAATTTTCTAAGTCTTTTCTCACTTGTCCGCTTTTTGAGAATTCTGGTCTTCCTTGAGGCATCCGGTTCTTAGCTGACAAATCCGGAAGAGTAATACTCAGTCTTCCAGGTGAGAAAGAAATCCGCGCTAGTCTTCCGACTTAGCCTTCAGCGGGTTGTAACGAGACATCCGGTTCTCATGTTGTCTTCCGGATAGGAGGATTTTCGTCTGCTTTGAGAGATCCTTACTTGTCTCTGACATTTCCGATCAAGATATCCAATTTCCAAATTTCTGAATTTGATTAAGTCTTCAGGCATCAAACAGCTTAAAGAAATATCACAACTTTATTGGAAATCCCAAGAACTTGGTTTTAACAATATTTCTAAAAGGAAAAATTACATTGAATATTTGGTGAGACCTAAAGTCCCTATTACATTCTAAATACATCATCATCAAAATCTATAATATTTTCCCCAACACTCATCATTATTCATTATCTCACTTTAAGACTTAGAGCCACTACCTGCGACCATGATTCAAGTCTAATCTATGACTCAGAACCACTACCTACGACCATGATTCTGGTCAACCCGGTACCTACAACGCTGGTTGGGTGTGTAACACCCCAACCCGCGTGACCCGAATACAATGACTAGCGGATCGGGTTGCTACTAGATTGGCATTCAGGCACAATAATTTTCAGAACATTTAAAACATTTAATTCAAAAACAACATTTATAAATATTCATCGGAGTAAGTAAAACGGTGCGGAAGCCTTTAAGTATTTAATCAAAATACAACTTTGGGTTCTTGCCCTTAAAAACATAATTAATTCAAACTTAAGTATTAAATAATAAACTCCTCCAGGCAGCATCCATCCATCTCTCTGCCCTCGCTGCCCTCCAGGATAGTTCTTTATTCATCATTCCTGTTACCTACGTGTAGCAAATAGGAAAAAGGGCTACACGCTCAGCATTGAAGCTGAGTGGAATCTATCTAATGTTTCGACTACGTACATAAACGAACCCACTAGCTCATAACTTCATGCAATATCATGCACACAAGTACACATCAATAACATCATTAATATCAAATAATTCATCAATGAAACATAATTACCATAATTAACTAACTTATCCCATAATCCACTTCTTTATCTCTAAGCTCATAACCTATCCTAGGCTAAGGCCAACTACTTTATTCTAGAGTCCTGATTAAACCACATCCATGGAAGAACCCGCTCGATACGACGTCATCCATGAGCAGATCTACGACCCCCGTGCGCACGCTCTACCCAACTGATCATGCGTGCACGCCGGCTCATCACATGACCAGTTATTCCTAATTGTATTCTTTATTCTGTTTTCTCAGTCTACGTATGATTCATCTAGGTAGCCTATCCGTATTCGAGTTCATAATTCCATATTTCCAAATTCATACAAGAACACAATATGTTAAATAACATTCATAGTCAACAAATAGATAGCGGCCTAGTGTCGGGTGTAAACACTTTCAACTTACCGTCATGCAAATCACACAATTTAGAGTAAGAAATGTACCTGGTCATCCTTGTTCAATCAATTCCAATATTATCATATATTATAGATAAAGCATAATTCAATTATAACTAAATAAACCACGTAATCAATTACACGAAATTACGAACGTGAATTTCAAATCTATATACATAATCTAGCGTTAGATGTGCAAGTTCTGACCTCGATTATTTGACGGGTTAAACAAAATAGACAGACGGAGAAGACGAACAGCGGCGGCCGTTCGTTCCTTGGCGACCACGGGCAGCGGCGATCGCGTCGTGCTCCGGTTCCGTTCTGCGGTGTGCTGATCTCCTCTCTAGAATCGTGCGCAGTACTTTCGTGGGTTTGTGTTGCGTGTATATATAATATAAGGGAGGGGAGGGTTTTGGTTTCATACCGTGGGTAGAAGTAGGTTTAAGCATTATACGGAGTAGTGTGTATATTATTTTATTATTATATTCTTATATTTACTTATTGAACTGTAATATCTATTTTACTCACCACGCTTTATACATAAGTCCAAATCAAACAAACTATATACCGTTGGTTACCATTCTTCGAGATCTATCCGAAAACCCAATTTTTATTTAAAATGGACAACTTTACAAATAATTCATATTTTAGAGTAAATAAATATTATATTTATTTTTATTAAAATTACGGATAACTACGAAGCCGGATTTCGGGTCGTTACAGGGTTGAACCTTCATGAAATGAAAGCTGAAAAAATCACACGAGCTACCAAGTTAACACTTATTTGATCACATTTTCTCTCAAAGACAATTTCTCACAATCTGACCTCTAAACACAATCAAGAGGTCTTTTATTAAATGGTTGTGAAAAGTAGACCCAAAAGACCCTTATTTATACCCAAAAATGATGTGTAACGGATGGGAGTTTATTTGGGTTTAATGGCATGATTTTTGGAAATTAAATAAAAGTGGATCTGTAGGAAATTAGCCTACCTAGCGATGTATGGAACTACCCATCGCTGGTAAGCCATTTTTCCTTTAGTTTTAAAGACAACGATCACCTACCCATGGATGGGTAAGAGCTTCCCATCGCTGGGTGGGAGGTTGACTCTCAAACAAGGAAAGAATCAGCCTTAAATGCCTTACAACGGTCATGCCTTCCCATGGATGGGTAATATCCTGCCATGGCTGGGAAGTCACTTACCCATGGATGGGTAATATCTCCCATCGCTGGGTGGCATGGTTCTGGAATCCCGGATCACTTACCCATGGATGGGTAATATCTCCCATCGTTGCGTGGCATAGTTCTGGAATCCCGGGATCACTTACCCATGGATGGGTGATATCTACCATCGCTAGGTAGATGGCTAGTCCAAAACCATGGCCTAGCCGACCGGCGCTGAAACCCGACTGAAAAATATAAAGTTCTCCAAAGTAAAAACTAATTGTTTAAAATACTTATTTAATGTATTGTATGTAGAAACCAAGTATAAAAACTTAAAAACCACTTCATTAAGGTAAAAACCACGGCTAGCCAAGTTTATGCCGTTTCGCATGGTTTTTGCCAAACGACCAAAAACGAGAGGTGATTTTTGAAGTGTTTTTATTGGAGAACCATTTGGATATGTCCAGAAGTAAAAACCAATCATAAAATATTAAAAACCACTTGATTGACTTGGACGCCAAAAACCAACGCCGATAACCAGTGCCGAATGCCGATAACCAACGCCGAAAAAATAAAGGTTATGGTTTTTGAAAACTAATGATTTGGAAAACCTTTAAATGTGTCCAGAAGCATAAAACAAAGATAAAAACCCAAAAACCATTTGGTTAAAATCAATGCCAATAACCAATGCCGAAAACTGAACGCCACAGCCGAATGCCGATAATCGATGGTTATGGTTTTGGTTAAGCAAGAACCATGTGATTTAGAAACATAAAAACCATTTATGAAAACACTCATTTGATGCATGAAAAACATATTTTGTTTTGAGCTATGACGTAGAGAAATTAAATGAGCTTGTTACAATAAAAACCTATGTCTTTAGAAAACGTCTTCAAAGCGCCAATGTCGCCATCTTTAGCAACGTCAATGCCTTTCTTTTGATTTTTTTTTCTTCAAAGAACTTTTTCTATCTCTTTTAATCTTTTCATTTTGTTCCATGTTCCCGACGGTTTGTCAATATCAAAACCTAAACGGAAAAAAACATTGTCATTAGCAAAATGTCAAAGTGAAAATGTTTTCCAACAATTTCCCCCTTTTTGATAATGACAAACCAAGGAGGGGATACGAAGGCCAAGTTGGGTTTTCAAAGAGAGAGTAATGGTAATTCCCCTTACGTCTTTGAAAACAAGATTTCCCCTCACTTGTTGCATATACCCAAACACTTCCCCCTTTTGGCATTAACAAAAAGCACTAAGTTTTTTTTAAAAGAAAGGTACTCCTTGAGCATTGATGTTTGATACAAAACATCATTGTTGTATGTTCCCCCTGAAACTGATACCATGTTTATAGCAAAAACAATTCCACCCAAACTCGCCTTGATGCAAATCATTAGGTTTCATGTTTGGAGCATCCACTACAAAAATGTAGTCTTCAAACACACCTACATATGCATCTAAAAATAATTTTTAGGTACCCAATAGCTTTTGGGTCCTTGGTGGTTAGGAAAATAAAAATCATAATCATAATTATAAGAAGTGTCCCCATGTCTAGAAAAACAAACGGGAGCTATGTGTCCTATCTTAGAACAATAATGGCATACTACGTTTGGATTATGCATATGCCTAGGTTGAGCCAAAAAGTTTCTAGGTGATCTAAAATCATCATTCCTAAAATTATTAACTAAATTTCTAGACTCATTTCTAGGTTGTCTCAAAATATTTCTACCATTCGTAAAAATCCAAGAGTCAATTCTAGGTTGTCTTACCTTGTTACTTTTATTCTTTCTAAAATTAATTTTGTTATACCTAGGATTGTTAGTTCTTCTAGGTGGTCTATCATTCTTAACTTCTTGACAAAGTTTCTTAGGCTCTTTTACCTTAATTTTTTCTATGGCGCTCTTAAGTTCAACATTCTCTACTTTTAAAGACTCACAAGAGGAACAAGTAGAACTTTGGTCAAAGAAAGAATATTCATTAATTGCCTTAATTTTATTTTTGAGGTCAAAATTATCATTTTCCAAAAATTTATTTTCCTCTTCCAAAGCATAAATTTTTGCCTTAGCCTCTTTGGCAATTTTTGAAGTTTTCTTCAATTCACCAAATAATTCTTGAAAGGCTTCTTGTAATTCTTCAAATGAGAAAGAGTTAGAAGTACTTACCTCTCCATTTCGTTCATGAGCCATAAGACATAAGGTGGCGGTTTCATCACCGGAACTTTCCGCATCCCATGCCATGTATGCTCGTTCCTTCTTCTTCTTTTCCTTGCGGTTTGGGCAATATGGCTTTATGTGGCCAAGTTCTCCACAACCAAAGCACGTTGGAACGGGTTCCCCCTTTCTTTTACAATCTCGGGACCTAAGTTCTTCCTTCAAACACTCTTGGAACTTCTCGAGCAAGTTAGAAGAAGGATTATCGTCATCGCTATCGGAGTCACTTACCTCTACCCTTTTTGAGGATGAGGCTTTGAGAGCGAGACCGTGACTCTTGTGAAGAGAAGGTTTAAGAACAGTAGATTCATAAGTTTTAAGATTACCTCAAAGACCATCGATGGTGACATTGGTATTACTAATCGACTCATATATGGCATCGGCTTTTGAACGCCATTCCGGTGTTAAGCTCTGAAGGATTTTTCGAACAAGATCTTTGTTCAAGTATGTTTTACCAAGGACATGGAGATCGTTGATGATCTTTAAAAATCGGTCAAAAATTTGATCAACGCTTTCAATTTCCTTCATTTTAAACAACTCATATTCATGGGTTAGAAAATCAATTTTAGCTTCACGAACTTGAGGCGTACCTTCGTATGTCACTTCAAGCTTATCCCACATTTCTTTTGCGGTGGAGCAAGAAGAAATTCTCCGGTAGTCATCCGGGTTAATTGCACAAAAAATCATGTGTTTAGCTTTTTCAAAAGCTTTTACCTTCTTGATGTCTTTAGCATCATATTTTTCCTCCTTCTTTGGGATGGTGGTTTCACCAACCTTTTTCATTGGCGTCGTCTCACCATTTTTGATGATTAACCACAGTTGGAAGCTGATTGACCGAATGTAAATCCTCATTCGTTCCTTCCAATAGGTGTAGTTTGTTCCATCGAGGAATGGAGGTCTAACGGTGGAGTGTCCTTCGCTTAATCCTGCATACGACATTTTCAACAAAAAATATAGATCGTTCTCTCAATCGGTTAAGGCTTGTAGAGAGTTAGGTTCCGATACCAATTGTTAGAATAAGTGCCCTTCACTAGAGGGGGGGTGAATAGTGAGGCACGAGAATGTTTATAAATTTTCGCGGAATAAAAATTGTAGGGATAAAGCAAAGAGCGGAATAAAAAAAGCGTAAAAAAAGAACACACCGATTTTACCCTGGTTCACCACAACGTGTGGCTAGTCCAGCCTCCCGAGAGACTCTCTCGAGCTACACTACTTCCGTTAAGCTTACGGGTGCTTAACAAACCGTTACAACCTGAGAACTCGAGTCCCACGAGCCTCAATACAGTTGCTCGTAGATACCGCACTCCAAGACTTCAACCCAAAGGAATATGCCCTTCCTTTGTATAACCAAGGGAACAAATCTCCCTTAAAGTGTTCACAACACTCAACCACTCAAGAACAAGAACTCTCTTAAAGAGTAGAATATGAGTAAACCAATTTAGATCAAGAACACACTCAATTCCTCATGAAATGGCTTTAAAAACCTATGTAAAAAGTTTATGGAATGATACAAGGTAAAGCTATGGAATGTGTGAGGAATGGTTGTGAAAAGTAGACCCAAAAGACCCTTATTTATACCCAAAAATGATGTGTAACGGATGGGAGTTGATTTGGGTTTAATGGCATGAATTTTGGAAATTAAATAAAAGTGGATCTGCAGGAAATTAGCCTACCCGGCGATGTATGGAACTACCCATCGCTGGTAAGCCATTTTTCTTTCAGTTTTAAAGACAACGGTCACCTACTCATGGATGGGTAAGAGCTTCCCATCGCTGGGTGGGAGGTTGACTCTCAAACAAGGAAAGAATCAGCCTTAAATGTCTTACAACAGTCATGCCTTCCCATGGATGGGTAATATCCTCCCATGGCTGGGAAGTCACTTACCCATGGATGGGTAATATCTCCCATCACTTGGTAGCATGGTTCTGGAATCCCGGGATCACTTACCCATGGAAGAGTGATATCTACCATCGCTGGGTAGATGGCTAGTCCAAAACCATGGCCTAGCCGACCGGCGCTGAAACCCGACTGAAAAATGCAAAGTTCCCCAAAGTAAAAACTAATTGTTCGAAACACTTATTTTATGTATTGTATTTAGAAACCAAGTATAAAAACTTAAAAACCACTTCATTAAGGTAAAAACCATGGCTAGCCAAGTTTTTGCCGTTTCGCATGGTTTTTGCCAAACGACCAAAAACGAGAGATGGTTTTTGAAGTGTTTTTATTGGAGAACCATTTGGATATGTCCCGAAGTAAAAACCAATCATAAAATATTAAAAACCACTTGATTGATTTGGACGCCGATAACCAGCGCTGAATGCCGATAACCAACGCCGAAAAAACAAAGGTTATGGTTTTTGAAAACTAATGATTTGGAAAACCTTTAAAAACCGTTTATTTAAAATCAATGCCAATAACCAATGCCGAAAAGCGAACGCCATAGCCGAATGCCGATAAACGATGGTTATGGTTTTGGTTAAGCAAGAACCATGGGTTTTAGAAACTTAAAAACCATTTATGAAAACACTCATTTGATGCATGAAAAACATATTTTGTTTTGAGCCATGACGTAGAGAAATTAAATGAGCTTGTTATAATAAAAACCTAAGTCTTTAGAAAACGTCTTCAAAGCGCCAATGTCGCCATCTTTAGCAACGTCAATGCCTTTCTTGTGCTTTTTGTTTATTCAAAGAACTTTTTCTATCTCTTTGAATCTTTTCATTTTGTTCCATGTTCCCGACGGTTTGTCAATATCAAAACCTAAACGGAAACAAACATTGTCATTAGCAAAATGTCAAAGTGAAAATGTTTTCCAACAGAAGGGGTCGCCGCTGCTGAGTCCGGTTGCCAATACCTCTTGGTCACGCGTCTCTCCTGTCACGATCCAAAAGCCTGTCTCAAACTCGGTTCACTTTTTTTATTTAAGTCATATTATATTCAGAATATAACAAAAGATAACAATAATTAGATGATCATCATACAATACAAATAGCGGTCTAATATCACGTGTAAACAGCTTCCACTTACCGTCATCCAACACATACATAAGGTCTCAGAATCAATCCGTGACTTAGTTCGGACAACAAAGAAGCAAAAAAAATGGAACGGGTCTAGTAGGTACCTTGGTACAACCTCACAATACCTAGGTACCGTCAAAAGCTATTCGATAATCAAGTTGGCCTGTGGCGGTAGTTGCCTACGGTTCGACGGAAAAGCCCTACCATCACCTTGTGAGTAACCTAGAAAACGGTAGCTCATAGTATCAGCTCAAACAACGATCAAGGTTTAATAAACTTAGCATACAAACACCCATAATTCGAGTAAGAAAACATACCTGGTCCCTTCTTTAGTCAATCCATTCGATAAAATCATACTCACAAAATCACAATCAAGTTTTACATAAATGAGTCTAAGATTGACTATGTATACGAATTAATGCTATCTAGGAATTCTACGCTAGAACAAACCCATGAGCTCACCTCAATTATGATATGAGTAAAATTAGTTTGACAAATCAAACGAAGAGGATGGCGGCGACAGCATGTGCAAACCAGCAGTGGCAGTCTCCCTCTCTCTCTTGAGCGACTTCTTCTTTCTTTCTTGTGTCTCCCATAGCATACGGAGTATGTAACACCTCAATCCGTCCAAGTCTGCAGCCCCTTTCGGACTAAAGTATAAACTTGTTATTCATAAATATTCAAAAGATTTCAAGCATTTTAAAACTTTATTTTACAATAAATTGTTCAGAATAATAACAGAGTAGTTAATGTTACAGAAGCTAAATAAATAACAATTACAAAACATAATAATATTATGTCTTTTTAAACTTTAATTCATTTTACACATCCACTTTGACCATCTCGCTCGGTCTGCCGCCAGGATTCCATCACATCATTCTTTTTGTTTACCTACGTGTAGCAAATAAAACATACTACACGCTCAGCGTTGAAGCTGAGTAAGCATATCTAATGCATCGAACATTCATATAAATTGAATCTCAATTCATAATTAACCATTTGATATCATGCACACAATACATATTTCAAGCTTACATTATTTATGATATTCACAATATTTTATTTTAAGTCATTTCATGATATATTCAATATTTAAAATATTTCATCAGTGCTCTTAAATTATTCTTAATCTAAGGCCAAATCATTTTTATACAAGCTCTTAGCTATTTCTAGTCTAAGACAATATTTCTAACCAGGCCCTTAAACTATAAATAGTTTAATGCAGAACACAAAAATCGATAATCCACCCTACGAGTCACGTGGATTACGTACCAAACCGAACAGTGATCTGTCGGGTGGGTGATATCCGGTCTGGATCCCGTACGTACGTTTTAACCCCGAATTTTGAATTGGTCAAGGAGGTATATCTTAGAGTTCTTCTAGATATCCTTAATAATCATCATCAATTTTCCAAGTGGGTATATCTTAGAGTTCTTCTAGATATCCTTAACAATACACATCATTTTCATAATCATTAATATATTCATTTTTAATCACGACTCAATCATTTATAATTATTATTTTATTAAGAATATTCATCACAGTCGATCATAAACAACATCAATAATAATCATCACAATATTCCATAACAAATAGCGGTCTCGCATTGAGTGTTAACACCTTAGCTTACCGTCATACATCACATAAAATTTTATCTGTCAATGAAGAATTGTGATTTTCCTTAAACAATAATGTGGGAGTACATGTGTTTATATACACAAGCTATTCCTAATCCTAATTATGCTAGGATTCTACAATAGGAAACAATATGTGTACAATAAATATAGAATATATATTTAACATAAATATAATATATATTTAACATGCTCCCGGCTACGTCGGCGTCGGTGGTGGGCGAATCCCAAGGCTTGTCCGAAAATCTTGAAATAATATGGACGGGAGGCCTTTTGTGAAAATGTCAGCATACTGTGATGAGGACGGCACATGAAGAACTCTAATCTGACCAAGGGCCACCTTGTCATGAACAAAGTGAATGTCTACCTCAATGTGTTTGGTGCGCTGATGCTGAACGGGGTTAGTGGAGAGGTAAACATCACTGACGTTATCGCAGAAGATAAGTGTGGCGCGGCGTAGGGGCTATTGTACCTGTAAAACCCCAATCCGTATAACCCGGAATTACACGAATTAAGGTGAAACAAGAGTTAAATAAAAATTTCGCTTGACATTTGCAAATGATAATTTCTTATAAATATTAAATTTACAGACTCTGGATCGCGACCCATTTAAAAATATTTTCAGAGTAATGCAGAAGTACAATAATAATCAAATCATGACACATTTAATATCTGATGACCAAACATTTGCCTGCCATCCTTGCATCTCCGCTGACTCAATGCCCTCCGGGAATGGTTCCGTCATTGTCTTCTTGTTACCTACGTGTAGTCAACGAAAAAAATACAAACTACACGCTCAGCGAAACCGCTGAGTGGTACCACGCTAGAATTGTAGAATAATTCACAGACATATACATATACATATATATACGTCCGCAAAGTGTATAATAATGTTCATGATATGGCACATTATGTCATATGATCAATTTGATGATTCATGATGATAAATATTTACTGATAATTACATGATGGCACATTTATTCAATTTGCTAGTTCTTGGTGATGATTACATGACACCTATGTAATCAA